AAAAGACCTATATGTAGAAAACTATAAAAATGCTGATGAAAGAAATCAAAGAGGGCACAAATAGATGGAGAAATCAATATATTGAAAATGAGTATACTACCCAAAGCAAACTATAGATTCAATGCAATCCCTATCAAGCTACCAATGGTATTTTTCAGAGAACCAGAACAAATAATTTCACAATTTGTATGAAGATACAAAAATCCTTGAATAGCCAAAGCAATCCTGAGAAAGAAGAATGGAACTATAGGATCAACCTGCCTGACTCCAGTCTATACTACAGAGAAACAGTCATCCAGACAATATGGTACTGGAACAAAGACAGAAATATGGATCAATGAAGCAAAGTACAAAGCCCAGAGATAAATCCACACACTCATGGACACATTATCTTTGACAAAGGAGGCAAGAAAATAAAATGAAGAAAAGACAATCTTTAACAAGTGGTCCTGGGAAAACTGGTCAAACACTTGTAAAAGAATGAAACTAGAACACTAATACCACAGACAAAAATTAAATCAAAATGGATTAAGATGTCAATGTAAGACCAGAAACTATAAAACTCCTAGAGAAAAGCATAGGCAAAACACTCTCTGACATAAATCACAGCAGGATCCTCTATGACACCCCTCCCAGAGTAATCAAAATGAAAGCAAAATAAACAAATGGGACCTAATTAAACTTAAAAGCTTTTGAACAATGAAGGAAACTATAAGCAAGGTGAAAAGACAGCCTTCAGAATGGGAGAAAATAATAGTAAATGAAGCAACTGACAAAGAAATAATCTCAAAAATATACAAGCAGTTCATGAAGCTCAATACCAGAAAAATAAACCACCCAATAAAAAACTGGGCCAAAGAACTAAACAAACGTTTCTCCAAAGAAGACATACACATAGCTAACAAAGATATGAAAAGATGCTCAACATCACTCATTATCAGAGAAATGCAAATCAAAACCACAATGAGGTACCATCTCACACCAGTCAGACTGTCTGCCATCAAAAAGTCTACAAACAATAAATTCTGGAGAGGGTGTGGAGAAAAGGGAACTCTCTTACACTGTTGGTGGAAATGCACATTAGTAAAGCTACTATGGAGAACAGTGTGGAGATTCCTTATAAAACTGGAAAGAGAACTGCCATATGACCCCGCAATTCCACTGCTGTGCATACACACCAAGGAAAGCAGAACAGAAAGAGACATGTGTACCCCAATGTTCATCACAGCACCGTTTATGATAGCCAGGACATGAAAGCAAACTTCAGGTGCATCGGCAGACAAATGGATAAGAAAGCTGTGGTACATATACACAATGGAATATTACTGAGCTATTAAAAAGAACACATTTGAATCAGTTCTAATGAGGTGGATGAAACTGGACCCTATTATACAGAGTGAAGCAAGTCAGAAAGAAAAACATTAATACAGTATATTAATGCATATCTAAGGAATTTATAAAGATGGTAACAACGACCCTGTATGAGAGACAACAAAAGAGACACAGAGATGAAGAACAGTCTTTTGCACTCTGTGGGAGAAGGCGAGGGTGGAATGATTTGAGAGAATTGCACTGAAACATATATATGTATGTGTATATGTGAATTAGATGACTAGTTCAAGTTTGACACATGAAGCACAGCAAAGTCAATGTGTTTGGACAACCCAGAGGGATGAAGGGAGGTAGAATGGGGGTTCAGGACATGGGAACATATGTACACCCATGACTGATTCATGTCAGTGTATGGCAAAAATCACAATACTGTAGTTAGCCTGCAATTAAAATAATTAATTTTTTAAAATGCTATTGATACTTTCATAGAGATTTTCAAGAGTCTGTAAACTGCTTTAGGTAGTATCCCTATTTTATTAATTCTTCTAATACAACAGCATGAAACAACTATCTCCATTTATGAGCATCTTCTTGAATTTTTTTTTTGTCAGTTAACTTACAATTTCCAGTGTACAAATTATAACTTCCTAGATTACATTAATTCCGAGATCTTTTATTTTTCCTGATGTAACTTTAAATGGGATTACTTTCTTAAGAGCTCTTACTGATTGTTTATCACTGTATAGAAGTTCAGCTCATTTTCATAAGTTGATTTTTTTTTCTAGCACCTTACTAAACTGGTCTGTTGGTTTTTAAGAGGTTTCCTTTTTTGTTTTATGGTAGTGGATTTTAGTGGATTCTGTACAATCTGATTATGATGTCATTTGCAAATAGTGAGTTTTACCTGGGTTATTTTAAAATTTTTCTGCATTCTGTTTCTCTTTCTTGCCTAACAGCCCGGACTAGGACTCCCAGTACTATTCTGAGTAAATGATGAGAATGAGCATCCTCATCTATTCCTACTCTACAGGAAAAGTTTCTAAATTTACAACTTAATCAAGATGAAGAAGAGGAGGAAGATGAGGATTAAAACTCAAATGGGAATATTTGTATAAGCTCTTAAATAAAATTTATCAACCAAAAAAAATAAATAAATTTACAACTTGTAGTTTTGTTTTTCTTGTGGTGTTCTTGTGAGACTTGGGCAACAAAGCAGTGCTGCTTGCTCTTCAGTCAACAAGCTGTGTGTGACTCTTTGCAAACCCATGGGTTGGTGCACAGCAGGCTTCCCTGGCCTTCACCAGTTCCAATAATTTGCTCTAACTTGTATCCACTGTGGTGGTGATGCCATTCAATCATCTCATCTTCTGCCACTCCCTACTCCTCCTGCTTTCAATATTTCCCAGCATCAGGGTCTTTTCCAGTGGGCCAGCTCTTTGCCTCAGATGGCTTAAGCACTGCAGCTTCAGTTTCAGCATCACTGTTTCCCATGAATATTCAGGAATGATTTCATTTACGACTGATTGGTTAAGTCTCCGTGCTATTTAAGTGACTCTCAAGAGTCTTCTCCAACACCACAGTTCACCAGCATAAATTGTTCAGTCTTCTTTATGGTCCACTCTCACATCCATACATGACTACTGGAAAAACCATAGCTTTGAGTAGATGGACCTTTTTTGGCAAAGTAATGTGTCAGCTTTTCAATATGCTGTCTAGATGTGTCACAGCTTTCTTCCCAGAAGGAAGCATCTTTTAATTTCACAGTTTTAGTTGCCAACCGCAGTGATTTTGAAACCCAAGAAAATAGTCTATCACTGTTTCCACTTTTTCCCCATCATATTTGCCATAAATCAGTTTTGTTTTTTTGAATGTTGGGTTTTAGCCAGCTTTTTCACTGTCCTCTTTCACCTTCATCAAGAGGCACTTTAGTTCCTCTTTGCTTTCTGAAATTAGGGTGATGTCATCTGCATATCTGAGCTTGTTTCTTTCTTTTTTTTTTTTTTTTTTGATTTTTAAATTAGATATATTTTATCTGTTTTCCATTGAGCTCATTTTCCCCAAACTTCAGGAATCTGTGTTTTGTTTTTTTTTTTCTTGTTGGAGGCTAATTACTTTACATCATTACAGTAGTTTTTGTTATACATTGAAATGAATTAGCCATGGATTTACATGTATTCCCCATCCCAGTCCCCCCTCCCACCTCCCTCTCCACCCGATCCCTCTGGGTCTTCCCAGTGCACCAGGCCCGAGCACTTGTCTCATG